TAACTGCCTCCAAAATTGGTGCTAAACAAGAGCCTATTGTAAGTACTTGCGTGTGTTTATAAAGGTGAAATAAGTACTACTCATGGAAAGTCCAAGAAGCCGCAGAATGGAAGCCATACTCAACCTGATTCCATTCATAATCTCTGAATTCTCCTCCAGGATGATCATTACAGCCCGAATTACCCCAAAATTGGAATATTTGAGTAGATAGATACCACACCAAATCTTCTAATGCGTCTTCCTCTGAAATTGTCTGCTGGTCCACTAATTTAACAAATTCATGCATTTTCAAGCAGAATAGCAAAAATGCTGTCACTTTCTTCATTGTCTGCATGAAATCATGAGATTCTATGCATATCACCTTCATTGTTCACAATCAATCGATGGAAAATGACCTGATGCATCTTTAGAAGGCCTTAAGCCTAAGATGCCATAGTGTGTCTAAGTTGTAGGAAATTCGATTTACACGTGACCATTTCCCTCCTACTTAAGTATACCTTCCGAGCACCATTTACGCTAGCCTGGAGTTGATCTGTAGAAGTGGGTTGACCTCGTTGTCGCAACTTGGTCTTGTTGTCAGGGCGACTGTGTAGAATGCATCTAGTCCGAAGTCGTCTGCCATAGTAGTTGTCATGATTCTCTTGAGAATGTATCAAGTCACATGACGGACGAAAGCTCAATAAGGATTCATCGGGGTCGCAGTGCGATGCGCCGAGGACCAATGCGCACAAATCTACAACCACAGCACCAAGACAACGCCTCACAGCCTCCGGTGGAACCAACTTACGAATCCCTTCTACTTGCCTCTTCCAACAACAATATATTAAGGGATTCTTCGAAACTCATCTTTACTACACGATATGGAAAATGCCTGACCTTCCTGCGCTGTGAGCCAAGGGCACTGGCGGCAATGTGGCGCAGCGTTTAGCGTTTTGAGATTATAGACTGCACTATCATAGTTCGACTCCAGGTGGGGGTGTTGATAAGACTTAGGCGAGGTCGAAACTACAGTCAACCCTGGATGACAACACCTTTTGGGAAAGCTAGGCTATGTGAAATTTAATGGAAACGTCGGCTCAAATCATATCATTGTGGGAAAATGTAACTACCAGTCCAATATCACCTTAAACGAAATATGGTGAACACAACTCATATATCTCATTTACTATTGCAGTTGTGAAGAATTTCATTTTGTATGAAAGTGCATGATGAAGAGACTAGTAGGTTTATTTCACCAGAAGATAGCTGATTCCTGATGTACTGTAGCCCTTTGGCTTTAATACGACGTTCAAAATTCTGCAGTCCACGAAACATCCCCCCTCGTTTCGGGCGAAGACGGGATGGGCTTTCGCTCGTCATACAATAAACACCTCAGGGCTGGGACTCATTCTTGCAGAAGCATCAAGTGAACATTAAGTCAAGTGGTCGGCTCTGTCCTACATGGTGTATATCTCCTAACGAAAAAAGTACTTAGATATAGATAGATATAGATTAGTTTTGTTAGCTCTCTTAAATTTGAATATATTTGCGTGTCTGTTTGTAGCCGATGTACGCAACACCGGCCATAGAAAAAAGTTTACTGTTAGCTTGAGGCTTTTGCCTCATGACGAATAGAAGCTCATGAAGCTCAGCCCGTCTTAGCCTGAAACGATGGAGGATGTCTCGTGGAATGCACCAAGCTATGCGTTGTATTAAAGCCAAACGGCTGCAGTACAGCGGGAATCATCCATCGTTTTCTGGTGAGTTCGACCTACCAATCTCACCACACATTCTCATACGAAATGAAGTCTGCAGAACAACCCTATTTCAGGAGATTCATCGAAACCAGTGCTTTTTCCGTATCTATAGGTCTTATCCAACTGAAAGTTTGATTAGAACTGCAAAATCTGAATAAAATTTTCAGAATACCATTTTGTAACAACGCGTGTTAGTGGTGCTAGAGCGGAATATTCCCAAGAATTTTCTGAATTCTTAAATCCGTCATGCAGAAAATATAATAAGCTAAAAATAAGGAATCTGATTTCCGGATAGAGTAGGCAAGGCGCATTGCAAATATTCTTAATACAGCCAGGGTATCTTAAACATTGGTATAATTTTGCATGGGTTTGAGTTTTGATTCCAACTACCTTGGATATGAGCTTGTTACATTGCGACAAAACCGAATTTTCTGTGCAAGTTCTTTTGCAACATCGAATGCTGAAATATGGTTTACTACACAAGGAAATCATCAACGCTGAGCCTACGTGAAACCATATAGCTCAGTTGATAAGCAGCGATTAAGGAAGTGATCCACAATTGTTGATCGAATCAACATTTGTTCATTCCTCTAAGTCGATGAATACTCCTATTAATGCATACCATAGAGCACATTAAGGAAAAAGAAACGAGATTGGTGGGGATGTCTAGCGAAAACAAGAAAATGTGAAACTTTGAAAAAATATGTAAACGAATCAAAATAAATCAAGCCGTTGTCAAAAGTAATGCGTCCATTGAAAAAGAGTGGGTAATGGAAATTCCGTCTTTTGCAACATCCATGTGCTGGAGGCAGTAGGCGGGAAACTTGCAGTTAAAATGAAAGCACACAAAATGAGCCTTATTTTGACGCTGAGGGTCCTAGAGTTTGAGCATTAGACCTGAGTTAAGAAGTGAAAGCTGTATGATTTACAGGTGGGCCAGTCTGTTTAAAGGAAAACTAGCTCATGTGAGACTTAGCGGGAATATGGGGACAATTGTAGCCATGACGATTCTTTTTGCATCCATTGGGTAGAGTTGGGGAAAAAATGGACCGACGAATGCTGGCCCAGGCTAAGCCAACGCTCAAATAAATTGGAACTCTGTCCTGGCGCCTAAGGAGAATCCGGGCCGTCGAATGATGTAACCTGCCGCCTGAATGCCGCTCCGTATCGAGGCCGAGGTTCGTTTAGTCGGCAAATAATGTGCCAGGAAACCCGCCGCAAAAGCGTCACCACAGCCGCAGGTATCGGCTATCTGATCGGGAGACACCGCCTCTACAGGAAACTCTCTCACCTGACCGACACCCCCATTCTGGTCCGTCTTAACCGCTAAGATGGGCTGGTCACCCTGAGTGACAAGGACGATGCGTTGACGACCCGGCCGGCGCAATCGCTCAGCCAACAGTAATGCTGCCGAGTGTGGAGTAGCCTTGTCATGGCGACTACTTGTATCTCCATGACTGTCGCTGCCGCATTTGTCCTGTCCACCGCTGTTGATGTGCGTCTTGTCATCAATGCTCTTGTAGGCACCGTTTGTGTCGCTCTTCTCACCTCGGCCTTCACACTCGTCAGCATAGGCACACGCTTCAGCCGCATTACCAATCACCACGTCAGCATAGGCCAACAACTCATCGACCAGTTTGTGGTAGGCAATGATGAGAAGAGGGGCGCCCAAGTTGACCACGAACATTTGGCCAGTTTGCCTGGCCCGATGGGCTAGCTGCAGCATAGCTGAAGAGCAAGATTTTAAAAAGTAGCACTGCACTTGAGGGTTTGCAGGTATCAGTTTATATCCAAGCCACCAGCCTACAAAGGGTCAGTTGGGACAAGGTATGACTTACCGAGACGTAAAAGCAGTCCGCCGCGGCAACACACTTTTCCACCTCCGCGGTCCAGAGGTAGTCAAGTGTGTAGTGGGCCGTTGCGCCGGCCATCGTGACTAATGACCTCGAGGTCTCCGTGACCAGGACGGCGCAGCGGCCAGTTGGTACATCGGCCTGAGGCACGCGCTGGTAGCAAGTACGCACGCCCAGGCTGGAGAGTGCGGATGACAACAGGTCACCAGCTTTGTCATTCCCAATGCATCCGGCCAGAGTGCAGACTCGTGGAGGTCCTGTCAGCAACCATTGCAGCATCGTCAATGTATTCTGCCCGGATCCACCCGGCATACAATTTAGCAAGGGATGCTGTTCCACATATTGAAATAGACCCGCATACCGATGGTCGGCCAACGTAAATCCGTCCGTTTTCAGGTGATATTTGGTCAGGAATGCCTTGTCGACAGGAACCACCATATCAAGGAGTGGATTAACCAGGCCGAAGACGACACCCTCGCGCCAGTAGATCGCCATCAGTCGTCTGTCCAAAAGTCGGTCTGTTGCAGCCACGCTATCGGCTGGTCGCCAGTCGAAATATCGACTGTAACTAGGGCAACTCAGCCAACCAGAAAGAAGGTCAGTTGGCCTACCAATCACGATTTTCACATTGCGCCAACCCTTACGCGAGTCAAGACGAATCGGTTATAGACAAGCAATTCTGTGCCAGATGCTGTTGCCCCATTTTGCTGCATGATCAGTTTACATTAACAAGTTAACGCACCTTGCCTATCGATCAGTGCAAGTTATGATCCCAGATGCAGATGCTTCGATGTCTGATGTTTTTTGTCTCCGTGTCGGATGTTGTCCTATTTTGCCTGTTGTCCCTAGGCCTTAGTGTAAACGCCTTTGTGTGCGTTTGTCCGTACATCGATGCCTAAATCAGAATAAAATGTAAATGTTATTGCTACCGGAGCAACTAAGGTAATGACGCTCCTATACAAGAAATAGCATCTTCCTTAAAAGCCCTATCAAAAATCAGACGAATAAGAGGACAGTTTAAGTTGTATTTCGACCCAGAAACGATCGTCAGGATAAACTAGAGTTTGTTGAACTTACTTCTATTTCAAATGAAAGTGTCGGGTGAAGAGATTCGAAGCTCGGTTCCACCAGAAGACGACGGCGGATCCCACTTGACCAGCTGTTAATAGGCACTCCCGGTACAGCGGGAGGTATGTGAAAACCAACGAGTAGTGAGAATAGATTTCAAGTAGGTCTAGATAAACAAGTAAGACATTTTGAAATTGAAGTGGTGATAGGAGGATATAGGATGAGTGAATAGTCCAAGACAAAGGGAGAGATACCACAACAGTTTAGCACACATTTGGTTAAAGGATCGACTTCACTAGCCTCTTTGACAAGTTGTAGTGTGGTTGTAAGAGTAGTAAGGCTCACTGACGATGCCGGCGAAAGGTCTGTGAATCTACCAAGTCCACGGTCCAAACCTGGAAATTATCGTGCATATTATGGACTCCGATCAACGTGCGTTCCTCTAGGTCTTTCTAGCAATAGGGAAAAGTTGCGAATACAAGGTTATATATTCAAAGAAATGTTGGGTCTCGAGGAATCTCTTCTTTCATAATTGTTGAGTTTACTTCCATTTCGAGTAAAAGTGTTTGGTGAAGAGATTCGAAGGTCTGTTCCAACAGAAGACGACAGGGGATTCCTTTTGACC